CCTCTCAGCGATGGGGAGCTCACCCCTTCTTGAGGAAGCCCCGCTCCATTTTCACGACATCCAGGATTTGGACGACCCCGGCAGAGTGTCTGACTTCCTTTCCCTGCCTCACCCTCTTAGCTAATATTTGGATAGTGCTCTAAGGTTCGCCTGGGGCTTCTGGCCAGCTTCCTCGTGTGTTCATGGTGCCCTGAGGACGTATGGAAGTCACAGAGAGGTAGATTTTGACTCGATGGAAACACACTTCCTGGCTAGAGCTGTCCCTAAGGGGACTGGCTTGTCTTGGTAGGTAGTGAGTTCCCTGCCACTGGAGATCTCCAAACTGGCACAAGAGAGGGGACCCTTGTGCTAGAACAGTTTGGATTAGATGCCTCTTAGGTCATTTGCAGCAAACAACCACCATTTATTAAATGCTTCCTTTGCATCAGGAACTGTTCCAAGTGCTGGAGATAGAAATGCACTTCCTTTCTAAGGGGAATGGGGGACACCAGAGAAGGTTCATGCCCCATGACCCTCAGATGACCCAATGTCCGAGCTGGAAGAGTCTTAGAGAGACCATCTCGTAGGCCACAGAGGTCGAGTTCACGTGGTCACTCAGGGCTGGCCTCCACCTCTCTTGGGATGGCCCCACAACCACCGCCCTCCTGGCCTCACCTTCACCGGTCTCTACAGGCAGAGTCCAGGAGGAAGCAGACAGAGTGATTGGCCGGAGCCGGAGGCTGACCGTGAAGGACTAGGCCCTCATGCCGTTCACCAACGCCGTGATACACGAAGTCCAGCGCTTCTCGGATATCATTCCCCTGGGCATCCCACACACGACAAGCCAGGACACGGAAATCCAAGGCTTCTTCATCCCGAAGGTGCCCACCTGCCCCTAGACCTCACCCTGAACCTACAAGGGGGGGCCAAGTGCAAAGCCGTCCCTGGCTGCATGGGCGACCTGGGATGAGTCCCCTGCCCTATTTGGGCCTCAGTTTCTTTGTCTGAAAAATGAGGGGATGGGACTAGAAGGTCTCTGAGTACCTGTCTAGCTCTGACATCCCCTGTTCTAAGGCCCTCCCATCCCTGACATCCCCTGTCCTAAGGCCCTCCCATCCCTGACATCCCCTGTTCCAAGGCCCCTCCCATCCCTGACATCCCCTGTTCCAAGGCCCCTCCCATCCCTGACATCTCCTGTTCCAAGGCCCCTCCCCCAGTTCTGACCCTCTAAGTCAGTGAGCCTCAGGCCAGGATGAGGAGGCCCCGGAGGTTCCTGGGCCTGGTTGCACACCTGGAGAGATGGGAGAGGGCCCAGGAGGCCCAGACTCCGCCCTCCTCACAGACTTTTCCTGGGGCTGAACTCTAGGGCACCACCCTGATTGCCAACCTGAGCTCAGTGCTGAAGGATGAGGCCAGCTGGGAGCAGGCTTACCGCTTCCGCCCCAAGCACTTCCTGGATGCGGAAGGCCACTTTGTGAAGCCCGAAGCCTTCATCCCTTTCTCAGCAGGTACGGGCAGGGCAGGAGGTGGGGGAGGGTCACCTTTGGGGATCAGAGCCCCCAGGATGAGCTCCCATGGCACAGCC